CACCGGCGGCGTAGCGCTCTGGTTTCGCTTAATTAAACTGTGTCTAGCTGGTCCAAAGCCCTGGCGTGTCGCGAACGACAAAGGAGCTTGTCCAGGAGAGAGAGAGAGAGAGAGAACAGTAGCAGCACGTGCCTTCATTAGGATCCCAGATCCCACAGCTACACCCGTATCTTGCGTAATCCAAAATAACGGGCCAACGGGAAGCAGGAGGAGCGGAGCAACTCTTGGGAGCCTCTGGATAACCAACCGGCACGGCGGGATCCAGGATCGCAATCACCTCGAGGCTCGACCAGACAATTTTCTCAGTTTACGCGGACACGCTTTTCTATCGATTGATCTTCGCCGAATATGGAAATACGGTTCGCCGAGTTTTGTACGTCCGAAGGGGTGAGTTAAGTTTTTAGGGTAAAGATCGATTAAAAGGATCTTGATATCGCTTCGTGTACCTCGATGATTATTAAATACCCGATCATCAGGTATTCTTGTTGAAATCTCAATGGACAGGGTTTAGGGGTTGAAGGAAGCGGGCGCGAAACTCGATTAATAACTCCGGAAGTCGGCTTATCGCGATAATTATTCACGATCAAAGGGCGACATTTAATCGGGCCTCGCTTAAAATCCCTGGCTGGAAATCGTCTCGCCCGGCGAAATTAACATCCCCCTGATTAATTGGACGTTTCGGAGAGTGGCTGGTCGTGGAACGGCTTAGCAATTTATTACGACGACGGATACCTCGAGAGTCCGTGGAGGCAGGCAACTTGTACGAACTTACGCTTCGCTTAAACTTGCCCATTCGTAAAGCGAGCCGGACTTGTCGGAGAGAAGAGACGATGGGTAGCCGGCGAACGGGGGTAGTTTACCCCTTTTCGCGCGGAACTACCGTTCCGGTCACGAATACATTCGGTCTCCCCTGTAAAGCCGGCTCTACGTTCCTAATCAACCTTAATAATCAAGCAGAGACGAATTATCTGTTTTAATAAAAATTTTCAACGACTCGAATACGAAATGGAAGAAATGGTCATTCTCTGGACGTCCGCGATGAATTCAGGGGTGGACAGGAACGTCACGTGTGCCAAACGCGCGCCGTTACGGACATTTAATTATAAGTTTATGCCCGGTTTATTGTTCCGTCGTGGAAAATGGAGACGACCGGCGTCGTCTACGAGGACGAGCAACGGCGACGCTGAAACGGTGATGTTGTTGAAGACCGCCGCGACGTTGTTGGATACCGTCGAAAGTACCAGCCAAGACTTGTACACACGTACACGCGTAGCTGAACGCTTGCACGTACGTTTTACGAGAAACAATAAGCCCGTCGCGGCATAATGACATCATCAAACGGTATTATGTCTTGCGGGCCACAAAGTGGACGCTTTCTGCCACGGATGGATGCATTCTGTCCGTGGAACGCGTTATGCACCACCGTTTCTCCACGATGCTGCATTTAAGGTGTTGATGACGAGTAGAAAAAAGGAAACTAGTTCCAGGGAGTACTCGACAAGTTTTCCAGGGGTGGTATTCCGGTTGATGAGATTCCTGGCTTGAGTTTCACCGGTGGAATAATTGGAATGAAATGAAATATTCGTCGGAATTTGACGGATTGAAAAATAGAAGATCGAAGGATATTCAATTTAACAGCGTTCAACTGTAATTAATAATTATTCTTCCTCTGTGTACATGGTTTTGTAGCAGACACAAGGAAGACCGTCAAACGATCCACCGACGACGCGTCGTAATTACAGTAATTGCAATTAGTTTTATCGTTCGGCCAGCAGCTACGTTGGTTCCACCAGGGGCCACTAAATCACACGGCAACCAGCGAAATTAATTGCAAGCATCGCGTATCGTGTGAACACGAAAGTCACGCGGACAAGAGGCGCTCGATTATCTAAACACGAGGCACCGTTTTGTCGATTCGGACGGTGCGCAAAGTTCCGAGGGAAAATTAGTGAACTTCTATCAGGAGTATCAATAAATCACTCGTCCGGACATTTTCAAGCTTTAAATTTTAAATTAATTTATCGTGATCGAGAAGAAACGATAAGGGAAGAGACAAAGCTTCTCATCAATTATCAAATCTTTCGAAGCAAACGCGTTATCGCAGACGTTATCTCATCGCGGATTCGACGTCGAATTAATAATCGTCGATTGAAACGTTCAGCGACACGCGTCCCGACTGATATCAGAGTATCGAAACCCTTTGAAGTCGAAGGGTTCCGGCGAGTATTCGCGAAGCACGCTAAGCTGACTTCGACACGCTGAATTCCGCGCGAAGTATTTATTCATCAGGCTGCCGGTACGCCGAACAGGCGGGACAGGAATTTCATAATGCTGATGTCACACGGTGGTATCGATTGAAGGGACGACACCCCCGCAACGCCCCTTACATCCCCGTCGGACCAGGGTTGGCCGACGGTAAAAATGTTGCAACGAACATCGGGAAAGGATGTCAAAGAACGACGAGATTGATAGGGATAGAACGATGGGAATTTCTGACGTGCCCCCCCCTCCGTCCTTGTTTTTCTTTAACCCTTTTATCGCGAAGGGATCATCAAGTCTAATAAATAATTTATCCTGTCGCGGGCAATGGCGATAAATTCTAAAGGTGCGATTCACCGTCGTACGGAATGGTTATCGTTAGAGTCTAAACGAGTTTTTCATCGTATTAAACATTATTCTAATTAAAGTTCGCCCTTGATTCTCGAAGAAAACAAAGCGCAGTTAGAAAACTAACGAGCCGTTTTCTTGTTGCGAACGGTCCGCGCTCTCCGGTTCGTTCACCCTGTAAGTGACATTATCCGCTCTTACCGTAACGCTTCAGCTTTTACGTACTAATTATCGGCATCTACGTTTCCTCGTAGTCGACGGCACAAGTCGTTCGCCGGCATTCCAGGCCGCGCTACTTCCGTGGGAACGGCTTTGTTCGTTAACTTCGACGTCGCTGTAAGTCTTCCTTCGACGATCAGCCACGCTTACGCCAGCTTCTCTCGATCCTCTATCGTTACAACGAGATTATCATTTATTGAAATTCGAAGATTTTTAGAATATTTAAACTGAATTTCTTCCGAGGTTAGTGAATTTGAAGAATAGTTGGCTGATAGAAAGGAGGCGAAGAGAATCATGGTACACGTGAACTCTGGTTACAGCTGAGGAGGAAATAGGCGAGCAGATGGAGAAACGAATATGCTACAGTGGAATCTACCAGATAGAAGGGGTGCTGTTGAAGAGGGAGTGGGTTGCCGAGGGAGGAGAAGAGGGAACGGAGTTCCGAGGCTGTTTACAGACCGCTGTTAAAGCGATCTAACTCATAGCCGGCCAATGCACTCGCGTACTGCATCTTGCTGTCTACAGTCCCGTTCAAAATTGGATCGATTTCTTATCGAAATCAATCTCGTCTATTTTGAATTATAATATAAAATTATTCGAAATATCTTCGACACGATCGTTGAAAAATAAAAACATGTACTTGGTTAATCGTTCGATCAAGAGAGGTCGAGAGCACGCAACGTGGATCAGCGAAGCAGAAAGGCGATCAGAAACGTTGGAAGAGAACGTTCCGTGAAAAATCACCGTGGCCCCTTATGAATTATTAAAGCATTTTCCCAGTCTCGCGTAATCGCGGGGAATAATTTTCTCTTTCTTCGATAGGCAATAGCCGGCTGGCAAGATGGTCGTCGACTGTTGCTCGCGTGATGTTTTATCCCCGTTCAGCGGAATATTATAAATCGCGAAAACCGAGGAAAATATGAGGAACACGGTTGGCTCTCGGGTGTTGCTCTCGATAACGCTTCGACACGCACCTCCCGTGACGACAATATCTGGAAAAGTCTCCGGATCGATTCGATCGTTGGGACAGCTTCGAGAGGAGACAGCAGCAGGCCGATCCTCCGACCGCCTCTTGGGGCTCCTTGTCCCTCGAAAGGGTAGCGTGTCGTGAGATTCAACGGATTCGACGGGGATAAATTGTTTTGGGAAGGCTGCTCCATCGGTTTGGATATTGTTTTTCGTCGAGATCCACTCGAGGGAGAGCCTCTTCAAATTCGTTCCGACGTGCTGGATTCTGCAGGCATCGTATCATACCAGCGACCGGTTTGTTAGGGGTTTTCGATCGAATTTGACAAGGGAAGTTCGGTAACCCGAAAATTCCCATTTCTTTAAAATTTTAACAAGTTTACTTTTCTCAAAATTTTGATTAAAATTGTTCCACTAATTATTCAATGATTAATTATAATAAAGATAGAATTAATTATGGAATATTAAGCGACTTTTGTGTAAGATCCGTGTGTTTTACTAGATCAACATTTTTCCATTAAATAATCAATAATTAATTATATTGAAAGTAGAATTAATCACACCTGGCGATCGAATGATTTACTACTCAATCGAAAATCGTGCGGTTCGGATAGGGCGAATTCTCAGGGTGTCACCCTCGGCTACGTTTTCAACCCTCTTTAACCCGGTGTTCGCCGCAGGACATTACGTCGGAGGGAAATAATTCCCGCGCGTTTCCTGCTTTCGTATTCCGGTTGTATGTTTATCGCGCGATTCGCTCGGCTAAATGGCCCGTGATCGTCACGATAATCGGAATCTTATCGCTTTTCCCCGATCGCGAACCGTCCAACCTTTCGTTGCGGTCGAATTCTTACAGGGCGCCACAGGGACCGTCCCTTTCCATCCTGGATTTTCTTCAATTTCATCCTTCTCCTACGTTTGCGACCAACGCCGCCGGCTGAATTCCGCTCCATTCATCGCGAGGGCTACGTGACGCGAAAAGCGGATGCTAGAGAGATTGTAAGGGGTAATCCGAACAGCTAGGGGGTGAAATGAGAGTTTAGCGCGAACGGTTAAACCTCCCGTGTCGATTCTGTTCGTTTAATTGAACCATGTCGATTCTGTTCGTTTAATTGAACCGACCGGTGCAGATTTTTTACAAACTTAGAAAAAGAAAATCGATCAAAGTGAAATTTATTAACATATTCGTGTTTGCCTTTTTGTTACAGGAGAGCTCATCTCAGAAATTGCCTGGAAAAGCTGAAAGTATTGGTTCCATTGGGTCCCGAAACGTCAAGACACACCACGTTAGGTCTCTTGACCAAGGCCAAGCGTTTTATTAAGGTATGTTGTTTATTATAATAAATATTACATCAACTGCACTGTAATAATTTTTGTAACCAGATCGCTACATCTGAATTAGGTAATTCTGTTTGCCTTAGTTTATAATTTTATATCTATTTTCCTAAAAATATTCTTATCACCCATTAACGAAATACTTCTCTCGTGGGAACGTTTATTGCCTCGTAATCTGCACGCAGCGAATCGTGGTGGACGGATGCGAGCAGAAAACCGTTCCATAAAAGTTAAGCGAGCCTGGATGGGGGGGATGGGTTTGAATATTTCATGGGGGTTTTCGCGAAGTCGCGATTCGCGAGAAACGCGTTCACTTACGTGGTGAAGGAAGGGGTTGAAGCGAGGGTGCGAGGGTATAGAGAGGGAAGAACGGAGATTTCTGGCTTGGAAAACGGGTCGGGTAATTAGCGAGAAAGATGGCGGAAAAGATGGCCGAGTGTGAAAAGAATATCGCGGTCGAGAGCGGTTAGGGGTGGTGGAAGGAAGCTGGAAGACGAAAAGAGAGTCCAGGGACGGACAAATAAAGTGTTAGAAAACATCTCGTATTTTTCCCTTTCTTTTTAATAAACAATATTTATTTTACATTAAAACATTCTCTTTCCATTTGGAAATGTTAGTTTTCGGTAACTTTCTATCATTGATCTACGAACGAGTTCTTTTCGACCCATCAGTGGTAGCCACCCCTTTCCCGCGTAAACTAGAAACGGACTTCATCCCCTGCTTTCGAGCCCCTTTAATTTTTCCTTTGGCTCGGCTTCTTTGCAGCCTCGACTCGCTTCATTTCCTCTTCCAACTCTCCTCTTCGTTGCTACCCTCTCGACACCGCAGCCCTTCATCCTCTATCCACCCCCGTCTGTCGTCTATCAACTCGAATCCCGTCGTTTTCGCGGCCGTTTTTCGTCTTTTTTCACCCTTTTCGTTGGCCAGAGGCTGACGATAAATCGCCATGCGCTGGTTAATGAGCGAGCCACTCTTAGACGGTTCTCTAATTAGTCGAACTCTCGACGCCCAGACGCTTTGCCCTTTCTGGTCGGGACAGAAAATTTGTCCGATATTCAATTGGAAAGCGTTTTGAAAACAGAAATAGGGATTTAATAAAAATTTTAGTCAATTATGATTTTCTCTGGATACCAATGATCCGTACGGAAGGTCGGCGACGCACGGTAAAGTTTGCATAATTACGAAAGTTTCGAATCGCTCGAAGAAACACGAAATGCCATCGGTGTCACGTTGATTTCTCGATCTCCAGAGAACACGGTGGTCGTTGTAACACATCGATGGTCTCGGAAAACAGGAATGGAGGACAGAGTGAAATCTTGGCGCGGGTATCTAACGCAGCCTGGTATAATGTACAGGTAGCTGAAGCAGAGGTCAGATTGATGTATACCAGGAATCTCCCACGCGGCCTCTGTATGCATGGACGAACGGTGGATACGCGCTGCTGCACTCCGGTCTGTGCAAACCGTTGCGTTGCTGCACACAACCTAGAACAAACACACGCGAGCGAAACGCATACGAGTAACACACGCTGCTACATATGCACGCATGCACGCCATTGTGCCAGCTAACCAGCCAGGCCAGCCTGTAATTTACTAACTACGCATCCATTGTCCGTCGCCACTCTCTGTTTGCGACGACACCTTAGCCTGACTTTCCGTCGACTTACAACGATCCTTACTCCTCTTCTTTATATTCATTTAATTTATGCATTTATCAAAATTCATGATTCGTTCCATTGGGTTAGATAAAATTAAATCTGTTCTTAAAGGTAAATAGAGGTATATACATTCCCAGTTAAATTAGTGTTAATCATTTTTCTGTATTCTTTCATATTATTATAAAATAAGCTAAAAACGTTAGCAGCTCTCGACCTAATTTTTCTTTTAAATTAAACGGTATAAAGTGTCTGATTATGTGGTGTATAAAAAATTTTTCTTAAAAGGCTACCATGGAGTCATTTTTTTTTTTGTTTCTAAGGTAGGATGCTGTACTATTTTTTTCTTATTTAAGTAGCTTTTATCAATCTGGATAAAATCAAATCATTTTTCCTAATCAAAAAGGGAATAATGAGAGCAAATACGAATATCAAAAAATTGTTTAAATAAATGTTATCTAGTCTTATAGAAGCTATTTAAATAAATAAAAAATAGTATAACATTCCATTTAAAAAAGACGACGTTGATTTATTCTGACCCAATGGTAGCCATTTTACAAAAGTTTTATATGCAACATGCAATCAAGTACTTTGTATTATTTAATCTAGAAGAATACTTAGGTCGATAGCTGCTATAGTTAGCAACACTTTATCTGTCTCACCCTGTAGAATTATAAATCGAGCCGGGTACAAAAAGAATCCCAGAGCAATTGATTCCGAATGTGAAACGAATAACACTGAACGTTCCCATCCTCAAAGAAACCTCTAAAATGGAGACTCTTCTTCGTTCACCGTCCACTTCCGTCTTATTGCAATCACTATTGCTATTGTTATTGCTGGTAGTACTCTCGAAACGCGGAAGACCGTTTTAAGGATAGGGAGGAACGTTAACGCGGTTCGATCACGGAAGGAACTGGTGCCACGTCGTTTCTAAAACGGAAGTCGGTCGTTGTCGTGCTCCTTAACGCGATCGCGGTTCCCTGTTTTTCCTTCTTCCGTGACCTGCGAACACCGCATCGATCCCTTAAGGCAACTACTGTAACGCGTCGATGCATTAATGCGAACGACGCGACGTTACCAACGTAAACGATAGAAAAGGTAGCTCGGTTCTCTTCGAAAGAGACGAGGGAAACAAGTAGAAAGGAAAAATAAAGGGTCGCGAACGAGCGCGTAACATTCGCGACGAGCGAATAAAACCATCGAAAAATGAAAAGAGGAAAAACCAGGGGAGTAGCGGAGGATGAAGAAAGAAAAAAAAAAAAAAAAAGAAGAGGAAAGAATGTCCCTTCGCGTCGGGAATATTGCTGAAAATAAAAGAAACGGAAGTAACACGGGAAGGAAGATAAGGGTGGAAAGATAAATAATGGAAGATGAAAGAGGGTAGAAGGTTGAAAGGTGAAGATACGGTGGAAATGATAGGGTGAGGTTTAACATCCCTTCCTCGCGAGGAAAATAATAAAGAAGGAGCTCGGGAAAGGGTGAGAAGTGGGTGAAGACAAACAGGAGAAAAATACTCTTGAAATAAAGGAAGATGAGAACGTGTTACATATGAGGTACAATGTATCGTTCAATGTTTGATATTTTGTAAGTGGTTGTTACAGAACTAAAATTTAATCTATCCTATCAATCTTTTTAACTTTTCACACATTTATTTATTTTTCTTTTTTTATCAACGTTGCGTATCGGCCCCTATATGGAGACGCGCCTTAAGGCGCATGGGGGGACGCGCCATCTGGGATGATTTTTAGTAAAACAGTTCGATTGTCGCGTGTCATGGCGTCGAATGATCTCGATAAAGGTTATACGCAGTTATTAGTGTTAGATATTTTTGTGAAATATTTTAATCTCATCGTTAATCAAACGTCGAGCAACAATCCATGAAACGCAACAGCCTTCCCGTTGGTAATGTATCCTCTTTTTATACGTACGTTTTCATTACCGGGGAAAGTGAAATGGTTTGTGGCGAAGCGTGCGTCTGCTCGATTTAAAGAAGCAATTTACTTGGGTGAAATCAGGTTGCACGGGCCCGTTGCCTATTAGGGGAGACTTTTTTCTTTTTTTCAACGGGACTAAATTCTTCCGGCCGCCTGTCCCGAAGGATTCGTTTTCGTGCACTGGCCGGACCACCCTTTCTCGCGGGGGATATTTAATGTCCGGAAACGAAACGAGTGCCGCTTAGCGACAATTGTGTTTAATTGCCGGGAAAATAGCAGTTACGTGCTGCGTCGAATTTTTCCTTTTTCTCTGTCAAAGGTTAGATAATTAGGACGCTCGTGAAAGGATCCATTAATCGCATCGATTCAATCGGACAATCATTTTAATTAATTTTCTAATTTTCTGCCTTTTTCCTCGTTCAAATATAACTTTTGATACGTTCACCAACAATTTTCCAAATTTTCTCCATAAAAACGCGAGGGCGTTAAAGAAAAATCCAAGGGACGAGGTCGTCAGAATCGAGCGATTCCAGATAACGACCAGCCACGATACCAAATGTCGTTCGATACACGCGTCCTCCTAGAAAAGTTGCTTTTGCCCGTGCTTTCCATTCCTTCTGATACGAGTTTACAACGGAGATAAGAGCGAGTTGCTTCGAGACGCTCGTAAAACGGCTGGTAGCCGGTTTAAACGCGACGCTGCGGCTATTTCGTGCCGGGAAATTCTAATCGCGACGCTTTCCACTCGCGTTACAACCCTCTCCGCGAGTAAATTACACGCGCGATCGAAGATGCGCTTACGTAACTTATCTCTGGCAAGTTCGAGATAACGGTATACACGAATGAAAACCAGATAACGAATGCATCTTTATTATAAACAATTTTTATAATGAAATATCAAAAATTTAATTTATGTGCTCTTTTCCTTCAGCACCTTAGAGATTATTGGATTGGATCTAACAGGCGTAAAGTATTAATACAAGCAGGCTCATAAACGCTATAATTAAAGAAATCCTCTTAATTAACTTGGAGTTTAAGGCTTCGTTCTAAACGTTCTACCAAAGACGTTCCCTGTTAAATGCTTCTGTAGGTTTTCTTACAATTTTTTTTTTTTTTTTCATCTTACATGTTAGCTTTAGACAGAGAATACCAGGGTAGAAATTGAATTGTTGATTTAACAAAACTGGTAAGAGCTAATGGAACGTAATTAAGATCGTTCCATTAGACACAATAGTATCCATGCGAGTCCATATTATCTTTTTCTTCCCCTTTCATTAGCAGTATACCGCAGACGTGTTTTTCTTTGTTCCGTAGCACCCTTAAGTACGGGGAGAATTTTGTCCCGCTTTCTAATCGGTTCCCTCCATGTCGCATTATTCGTCGACTGTTCCACTGCTCGCGCCAATTGCTTATCTTTGTATCACCCTCTGTGTTCGGGTCTTACTTTTTTTATCCGGCCTTCTTATTCCGAGACGTGGCCCTCTTTCGAACAGAAGAAGTGATTACAAAGGACCTACGGTGCTTGGTGTTCTGGAAGGGTGTCATAAATCGCAGACAGCTTCCACCCCATCTTTTCATCGCTTTCTACACCCCCGATCGTTCTTCTTACTCTGCTTATTTACATGCAAGCCTTCTGTTCTTTTTTCATTCTTCGATTTTCTTTTCTATATTATTCTAGTAACTTAATCTGTTTATAAAAATTGAGAAAAAAAATTTCAATTATTTACACTTTGATTTATTACCCTTAATTCTAAATGGTAGATGGTAATCCATTTGATGAAAAGCGGGATTCAAGTTTTCTTGTAACTTCTCTGGTAAATTGTGCGTAAGAGGATTCGTTTTACGATCAAAGCAGACAATTGACCGTGCTTCGGTCGCTTCAAAGCCGGCGCAAATGCCTTTTATCTTAATTATCATTCATTTTTTTTTCTCTTCTAACTTCATTTATCGCGAAATTCATTCCGCGAATGGACAATGGTTTAAAGCGAGCAGCAAACCAGCGAAAAAATTACGGAACTAATGGAAAACGAGGTTTGCTAAAGCTGGAGGATTACGATGAAGCTTCGGTTAATTCGCAAAGTCCAACACGAGATTCAGATAATTTATACTTCGAAACGTTCGTTACTCGCTAATGAATCTGGCTATATTGTTTCCATCGTTTCGAAAGCGAATTCGTCAAAATCGATCGGTCTACCCTTTTTCTTTTTTCTTTTTTTAATAATTGGGAGACGTTTCTGTTTCAGAGCCTGGAGGAGCGCGAACGCAAGCACGCGGTGCACAAAGAGCAGCTGTCTCGCGAGCGGAGGTTCCTCAGGCGACGGTTAGAGCAGCTGACAAGTCAGACGGGTCTCCACGGGCTCCACGGGCTGCACGGGTTGAGTTCGAGCGTCCCGACCGGTTCCTCTTGCGGGTCAGGAGCAGCCGCGGCCGCGGCTCTCCTCTCGAAACGTCGAAGCGTATCCGAATGCTCGCTCGGCACGGCCTCCTGCACCAGTTCCACCGCCAGCTCCAGGAACTCCGACAGGTCTGCGGGCAGTCCCTCCGTCTCGGAGTCCGGTGAGTACATTTCACCCTTTTATTTCAAAAATACAGCCGCCATAGATGAAAGAAGAAATATTAATTACGATATCGTATTAAATTTCCTTAACGAGGGGAAAGTTAATTTCCCTCGTTTGAACATTATCTGTTTGCAAAACGTGACGAGGGTAATCGGCGATCGCGTGGGTGAAATTTCACGGGGTGCAACCTATTTCCTGCAGGAAGTTGGATCCTTGCATATCAATATTTAATTTAACTTTATAATTAGCTGGCCTATCTGCTCGCGTTCGTTTAAGAACACCCTGAATCGATGGTTACGAAGGGTATCTTAGATTCATTGTTTAAATGAAAGTTTCTCGGAAAAGATAGAAAATTGTGAGGTACGTGGGTTTCTGATTTTTGAAATGGAGAAAAATTGATGTGGTTACGATGTCGTTAGCCTCCGAAAGACGGCACGTGTACACGTCCGAAGCCAGTTCCGCTCGTGCCCTGCTTCTAATCCCTTTACGGGAAAATTTGAGGGTTAATCGCGTTACGGTGATACATCGTTGCTTGTTTTCGGCGGCAACGAAGCCTCTGAAAGGATTGAAGCCCGGCAAAAATGAGCGAACAAGCGGAGCACTGCTGAAACGCTTCCACGTTACGTGTCGCGGAGCTTTTTTTTTTTTTTCTTTCCTTCGCCAACCCTTTCGCGACGCCTCGTAAGCCGACGCGTTTCTACCAATTACAGCTTGAATCGTTTCGCACCCCTTATTCGAGTCGATTTTTCTTTCTTACCGTTGAAACTTTGTTATATATTATATCTATCGTAACTTTATGATGAATTTCGATAGCGTATACATCAATTTACTGTTTCAACTAGATAAGGAAAAGAAGATTGAAGGAAATTTCGCGAGATACCCGTCGTAGGAGGATTCGGAAAGTTCGTATCGACGAACGAAAAGAGTGATTGAAATGAAAAGAAACGAGAGATTCTTTGGTCGATCGTAAGGCTGGCACGTCGTCGCTTGCAAGTTTTTATCGGTTGCCCTGCAACTTTGCGGGCCCCCGTCTTACCTAGAAGTTCATAAGCGACAGAGACCGAGCCGGAAGTTTGCTAACGGGCTGACTCAGCCATTTCTCTCTCGGCACCCGGGAAATTCGCGGTAATACGGAACGATTCTGCTGAACAATCGTAAAAATGTCCGGTACTCGAGGTTTCGTCAAACTTTTGACACGCGAATCAACATACGTACGATTTCGACCAGCTTCCCTTTAATTTTCTTTCCATTTTCTTTCAAAATTTATCGCCTTTCCGTTTAACTTATCGACATTTTCCGATGTACGATATAATTCAGACTCTCACCACTTTGATTTAGTTATCCAATATATTAACACGTTCTGGTCGGAGAAAGAAAGCAGATGGAGGGAAGAAAGGGGGATGCTGTATACGTAGTCTCTCGTGCACCGAGGGGGGATGATACTTGACGGTGTTGAATGAAGTTTTAAGGCTGGACGACACGGTGATTTATCGCGTCCCCGTTTCGAAGGCTTTTCATTTTGCAAGGCGAACGCGACGCACTCATCGATTATCGTGCTGCTCCCGTTGTCACGCGGTGCTTCATTCGGTCAACAATGCTCCGTACACGTAATTTGCCTGCTATTGATCATCCATTTGTCACCCCGTGCATCAACGCTGTTTTCCCGCTGTTTTTACCCGCCTCCCCACCGCCCCGAACGCCCGTCATTTCGTTTCTGCTGAAATTTTTAGAAAGCTTCTCCCCAGTTTCGATTGCCTTTATCAATTTCACCAAACGATACTCAAAATTAAAATTCTCAATAATTAACAGAAGCTTGTTCAAAGTATCCCATGATTTATAGACAAGGCTATGTTCTTTTTTCTTTTCATTTTTAACTCTTTCCTTCGGACGATTCGTGTCGATTTTCACTACGTAGATCACGATCGAGTCTGGCGATTGAGGGATCAGATGGGCAAGAAAGGGGGGGTTAATCAGTGCAATCATGAGATTAGCGTGGCAGGGGAGAGTAAAGGCTGGCACGTAGCGTTTCGCAAGGGAAGAGAATAGAGAGGGTTGAGCGAGGGAGATTCGTATATCGATTCGATATCCCGGACCTCAAGAGGTTCGCTTTGATGCATAATCACTTTGGTCTCACGTATCGGCTCGTCAGAGAGCCCTGTCCATAGGATATTCGCCTTTTTCACGTCGCCTCGTTTCTGCGGCTAATATGTATCTCCCTCCCCTTTTCTATTATAATACAAATGGAAAACTTCATTACTATATAATTGCAATTTATATTCTATCGTGTAAAATAAATGTCGAGCTTTCGATTGCAATTGCTAAAAAATTGCAATTGAAATTTTCTTATTACCAAAGAAAAATTTGCTAAATATAATATTTAATTGGTATTAGAGCAAAGGTAGATGCAGATGATTATAGTTGAATTTCCATCGGGTCGTAACCAGTTGTCCATAATTAAAGCTTCCGTGGTCGGAAAATTGGGCCTCATAAGTGTAGCCAGGGCTGCTTATTTCGACGCGATTTGCACGACGAAGCTTAGCGCCTGGAAGCTGGTAGTCGAAGTGATTAGGCGAATTACTAAACACGATAAGGACCATCCAGATAAGGTTTCCATCCCGAGGCGTTGCTAATAGTTCCTGTCGTCTTCTTGACGACTTCTCATCACCACCCCTTTTCGTCCAGGAACATCCACTCGCCATGTAAATTGATTTTCTTTTATAAACCAACGTTCGTATTCAGAGATGAAATTCTCGTTATTTTTGGAAATGAAATTTAAGGAAGATCGAATAGTTTCAATTTTCACGTTTAATAGCGGAACGCGGGCAAGGGGCTCGCCGGAGACGTCCATTAAATTTCGCGATTCGGTCGACGTCGCTTTTAAAATTACATTCCCTTATCTCACGGTATACTTGGCCAACGCTGCAACTTTTATCCTTCATTACGTGACTGCGAAAGGACGCATGAAAAATTCACGGGCCACCGGTTCCCGGTAGAACGTCTGCGGTACACCGAGAGACGTCTGTAGGCTGGAATTAATTCTCTCTGTCGCATTTACCTCTCTCCTCGTGGATAGTGTGTCGCGAGGAGGGAAACTGAAGCCGCAACGTGGATCTTTCAACGCGTCGACAGGATCGCAGAAATTCCGATTTCGATACAAATTTCATAGCCGAGTTGAACTTCCATAAATCAGATATCGATTATTTCAAATTATTAGAAATTGGAATTACAACAAATTTTTTTATTCGTCAATCGAAAGTGAATATCCCGAATCAATCATTCCTATCTTCTATCACCTCGAACCGACGGATAACCGATACACCGTCGAACAAAAGGGAGAGAATAAAAAAAAAAAAAAAAAGAAAAAAAAGTGGCGAATCGGGAGGAAGTGACACACGAGCATCGGGAAAATAAAAAGAAGGGCCGAGGGGTGGGGTAGAGAGAGTTCGTTCCGGCGTGGAGTGCGACAACAAAGCCGAAAGATCATCCGGAGCGAGCTTGGTGACATTTATACCCGAGCTAATTATCCTGCGCCACCAACGGATCCTTTCTTCTCCGAAACTATGACAATAGCATCGAGAGATGGTGAAAGCAGGCCCAGCCGCGTAACGACGACATGTCTGCCTGCCTCTCTGATACGATGAAACTCAACCTGGTCGTGCATTTACGTCGACGTTAGTGTTTTACCCGTGGAACAAAAGCCTTTCGCGGACGACGACGACGACGAAGAGGAAGAGTGTATAAGCAAAAAAGAACGAAGGGAATCGGATATGCCGTAATCGATACACAAGGGGTGCCACGGAACGAATGCTTGATGTATACGTAGCCGCAAGAAGAGTCGACGGGGATGAATTAACCCGCTGGCTTCGAGGAAATCGATGATGGTACCTCCTTGCGCCGGCGAACATCGTCCTCGAGGCTGTCAGCAGGATCCGGGATTTCGAATTTCTTTCTACCGATTCGTTTCTTCGCGAGTATCGCGTTTCAGGATGTTCGATTGAAATTTATTAATATTCAAAACTTTCGAAAATTATTCTTTCTCCAATCGGAACAAGTTTCGCGGACGTCGATGTACTCGGTATCGAAGTTGAATGCGGACACGTTTCACGAGGCTGTAAAACGTACACCGCGATATTTCAACGACAATAATAACAGCAACAACGAGTACCGCAACAACGAGAGGGATGAAAATGCCGTGGTAGTTTTCGTCGGTGTCGACGACATGCCGTAATGGTCACGAGGCGTCGTTTTCACGGTGAAACGATGCCGCATCGTCGTCGTTCCTCTCGCGTGTCACCGGCACTCAGCGAGGCGGATTTCAGCGCGAACGTTACAGAACAGCCCGAAGAGACGGCTTTATTGGGGATGCGAGTGGTGAATGGGGTGAAAGGGGAGCAGGCGGAGGGAAAATTGAAAAGTAAGAAGCGGTAAGCCGTGATGGAAATACAGAGGGTGTGAAAAATATTCTTATATCGGTTTCAAGTAAATTAATTTATTAATCGATGACATAAAAGTTGATCCCAATTTAGAATAAAACGGACCCCATAAAAACGCTTAAAAAATGTCTGAGAGTGACTAGGAACAGTTCAGAGAAAAGAATGAGGGTCGAAAACATTGTATGGAACGTTTCACGAAACCACTATTAAACCTGTTCGCGTACGGCTAGGTGGAACAGAAAGAACGAAACGGTTTTATTAAAAAGTCTAAAAAGAAAAAAAAAGGAAAACAAATGTGCTAGCCAGCGAATAGACATAGTTTCAGTAGCGAGAGAGAAGAAGACAGACGGGGGGGTCGAAAACAGCAGGAAACATTTCGCGAAACCATCCTCCCTGCCGACGTTATCCAACACACCCCTCCAAACTCTCTAGCTCACCTCATTCCATGCCATTGGCTGCGTGCAAAGTGATTAAAAACATGGGAACGGGCAACTCGCACCCATACCACCATCGCTCGGGCTTTCCTCTTCCATAGGTCTGCTGCTCTATCGGCCTTCCTCTGCTC